CCCCCCCCCCCCCCCCCCAGACACAATTCTAAAATCATAAGGGATGTTTTTATCTCTATTTTCCGATCCAAAATAGGATTTAAAGGGCGCGGGCTGATTAGGGGGTGGGAAATACAAGGGGAAGGGATTATTAAGGCTCCTACATTAAGGTGGTGCTCTGCGGGAAACATTGTTCGGTGAGCTCGTCCTGAGTTGAAGAGTGCGGCAGAGAGAGTGAAGGATGGCGACACGCTCTCTGTCTGGGTCAGGAACTGCCTGGACAAGAGGTCGCGAAAAAGCTGACTCAAAAGTCAGGAACATCGACTTTGACCCGGCTCGATCCTTCTCAGACTGGCCAGAATCTGCTTCAGCTCCCCTACCCATGCCATCCAACCAATCCGAATCACGGCTTCATACTGACTTTCATTTCAGAGGTTGCGGCCCGGGCTATGTCAAGCGGCTATGTCATGCCGGGTTTGAGGGAGGCACTCTGCCTCCGCATCGTCGTCTTCCAGCAGTGCTCCGGGTTCGCAACTAGGCAGCTCACGTTCGAAGGCCTCAACTGGAGTTTCGTGACAAGATTCAACTCAATGATGCAGGTGCACCATCCGAGGGCACCACAGGGCATAGAGATCACCATCAATGCCGAACTCGCGTACCAAGCTGTCACATCCGTGAAAGAGACGGCATGTCTGGGCGCCGTGAGAAGTGCCTCAGATAAGCAGCTTGCAGCATTTCCAGAGCAGCTGGCGACGCAAAGTGCTGTAATCAAGATGCCAGTCCAGTAGAAGGCGCAGTCCACCTCAGCTGTATCCCCTTTCTTCGTTGAATGCCTTAAAAGCCCATTGACTCCCAGCGTGCACAATCTCTACTCTACCCTGATTAACCCATGTAGTCTAGACTTCCCTCCAAAGTGCTGCATACAAAACACATGAAGGACAAAGTACAAACTATGAGTACATGGACCTTGCCAGTATACGCTACGATACTATACTCTACTCTACTAGCTATACTGTACCAGACCATATCAGGCATTCAAGACCATACCGTACCAAACCATACCAGGCCGGTCCAGACCAGGCCATACACTCTGCTTTAATTTACTATACTCCTCTCTACTATGATAGACTAGATACTGTAACAGGCTACGCTAAGCTACAATATACTTGGCAGTTAAACACATACTGAACTATAGTATATTATACTATACTATACAATACTACACTATGCTTTACTATACTATGCTACACGATGCTATACTATGCTATGCTATACGATGCTATGCTATGCTATGCTACCCTATGCTATCTTATGCTACGCAATGCACTGCAATGCTATGCTATGCTATGCTATGCTATCCTATGCTATGCTATCCTATGCTATACTATGCTGTACTATAATATACTATACTAGACTATGACTCTATAATATAATACAATAAAAGCCCATCATCTGTTGTTGTTATTACTATTTCGAATACTATTACTATAATCAGGACGTGCGGCGAAGTCTTTGCACCTTTCCTGGCAGTCTGCTTTCTCGAAGGCTTCGGCCTGCCCCATTGAGAAAAGTGTGCCACAATTTTAGAATAGCGCTCCCTGAGTGGGTTCTATAGGGGTTGCTGCGAGCCAGGCGTACCATAAGGTCTCTGTAATATATATATATATATATATAGAGAGAGAGAGAGAGGCACATGCACGAAGAGCTTGCAGCCTCCGTCTCGAAGTAGATGCCCCTCGCTCCTGGAAGCAGCTGCCTGGTGACACGTCTTGTTCGCGGCAGGTATATGAAGCAAAACGCTTGATATTTCGAACAGGGTCTTGAGTCTTGTGGCATGTCAGACTCTACCTGTAGTAAGACACCCCAAGGAATCCAAGGAGTAGTATAGGTCAGTCTTTGAAGCCCCCAGAAATACTCAGAGGAACTCCAGCCTGGAGGGGCAGGCGAACTGGCCCTGAACGATGAGCAGTGGCGGGGGAATGAAGGCACCTTACGTCAGCAGAAACGGGCAGCTCCCTGTCACAAAGTGACCACATGGCGGAAGAAAGCAGAGGTAAGCTCGCTGAGGCCGGAACCATCGCTGGCAGGAGGGAGGCCCTCTGCGACGAGAGCATTTGCGGGAAAGCCCAGGCCCCAGCCAGGCGGAACGCAGTCACAGGGGTGCAGCCAGTAGTCGTCCGGCTGGAGCGTCGTGGGATCATCGAAGACGAGAGGATGAAGAACATCATCCTCGACTTCGTGGGTCAGTGGCTGTGGACATTCCAAGGTAGCCCAGTCCAGCGAGATGGTGAAGCCCTCCTGAAGAGTCGTGTTCGTGGCGTTCTTCGTGCTGGGCACTCCAGGCTCCAGGCAGAGCATCTCTTCACCGGCCAGCTCGAAGTATCCCAGCTTTGGGTCCAAGTAATCGACCTCGGGCCTCGCCCGTTGCACCAGCCAGCTTCCGGTAGCGCACTGAGATCTGGAACCTTTCGGCACACTGGCGAGATACATCACCTCCTGTGGAATCAGGCTGTCCTTCCGATAGACGGGGCTTCCACGCCGGATGTCGTACTCCACAGGACAGTAGTCGCCCGCAACGACCCATTCAGGATGCTTCAGACGGATGCAGGTTGACAGGTCAGTGCAATCTGTGACCTTGGCATAGGTCATCACCGACGTCCCTTCCACGGTGTTGATGCGATAGTGTCTGCATGCGTCATCAGCATAGGTGAAGTGGGAGCAGACCTTTGATTGACGACAGACCTGCCGGCAGTGTGTCTCCTCGGTGGTGTGCTCCTCCCAGACAACTTCGCCGACGATCCGCTCCTTCACCCAGCATTTGTTGTCCTTCACCTTGAAGACCATCTGAGTGAAAATCGGCGGAAAGTCTGTCCCGGGGAAGAGACCATACACTCCGCAGTGCATTTGAAAGTTTTTCCGATGGGCCTGGTAGGCGGTGATCTCATCGAACATCAGGGCCATGCTCTCACCGGGCGCAAGAGCGATGCTCCCATCCGGTGCAACTTCGAGAATCTGATGATTCTGCAAGAGGCCTACACCCCAATTGCGGTCGTAGGACCAGATCGGGAATCCAACGGTGCAGGAGATCACGAAGGAGGTCGGCTTGAGTCCTCCTGCACCTTCCTCGTATCCTTTGGGCGTCTTGAGCTTCAATGGTGGCAGCTGCTCGCCGACAACCACCTCTGCATAGGAGGACTCGTAGACCAGCTCGGGCCACGGTCGAGGCCGGATGGCCGCAAAGGTGGCAGTCCTCTGGGTCGTGTTGTCGGTGGCGGTCACCACACAGACTCCGCCATCCATCCCCGAGTAGTCGTCCCCGGCCTCCGTCACACCGCCGGCTCCGGCACCGGTCACATCGGTCTGGGAGGTGACGGTGCCCGAGGCATCGACAGAGAGCCACGACTGCTCCGGTGCACATACCATGCTGAAGTCCTGCAGCGTGCCCGAAGCAGCGACCTGGTAGGAGGGCGTCTTTTGGGAGAAGACTAGAACGGCAGAGGGGTACGTCATGTGCTCCACAACCACCGACACCTTCACCGTCTCCGAAAGACCGACGCCCTGGTGTGCAGTGATTTCGCATTGCACAGAAAAGGCTTCTGTTGGCCGGGCCATGGAGGCCTGGTAGGAGATCACGCCGGTGCTGCCGTCGAGTGTCAAGTTCCGAGCAGCCAAGTTGCAGTCGCCATTCACCGAGTACCGGGTGGCCGTTCGAGGAAGAGGCTCCAAATGAACGGGGACACCTACAGAAAATCGCTTGTCCGCATACTTGAATGGCGTCGGTGTCTTGTGCCCTCCATTGCACTTGCAGCAAGCCTGATTGCTGCTCTGGCCCTTGACTGGCCTGTCGTTGCACTCCGCCTCCGTGATCCTGTCGCAAGATTTTCCGCTCTCGCTGACCCAGTCGATAGTGCTGAGGCAGGCCACGCATGTACCGTTTTGACGGAGGTAGCCGTCCTCACACTTCTGGCATTTCCCCTCTGAGAAGACGGCACAACCAGCACATTCCGTGGAGCTGCTGGGGCAGCCTCAGTTGAAAGTAATTACCTACATGTGAATGCAGGGCAACAAGCGTGACTTGCCAGCCAGCCTAACGAGTCGAGGCAAGCGGCAGCTCGTGGTGGTTTCATTGTGAAAGAACTGCCAGAGCGTGATCTCTCCCGGACAGAGATCGCTGTCTCGGTCGCGGATCACGTCCGCCCTTGCAACTTCCCGAAGCTGCTGGGCCACCTCCAGCGGCACCCTGGGAGCTTTGGCCTTGCGTTTTCGGCATTGGGCGGCAAGCCGGTTAAGGCTGCTGTTTGCGCCAAGCTCCTGAAAACAAGGCACGACCAGAACAGGAATGCCATGTCTGCTCGGCAGGGCTCCTGGAATTGCAAGGCACCTTGCCAGCTTCCGTCCGCGATCGCAAGGTTCGACTCCAGCTCCTGTAGCCGGCCTCAGTGGATGTCGTGACTGCGGCCGCGCGCCATGCGGCCTGTAAAGCTGAGATGCTGGGGTCCAGGTGCGACTTGGCCTGGAGCAAGCCGGTGCCAACGGGTTTTGAAACGTCCTCGCAGTGGTCGTCAATGTCGACTGCACCTCGGAAGGAAAGTGCAGAAGTTTAGCTCCCCATGAGCAGACTTAAGCCAACCGAGGCACTTCCGTACAGCCAACATAGTCCGGTAAAGAAGCAAAGCTGCCCATGTATGGGCAACATCGGTAGGTGCCCCGCCGCCGTATCTGTCAAGGGTCAGAGGCATAGCAAACGAGCCCATGGCACAAACAAGCAGAGTGAACATCATAAAGGCTTGAGTCATTTGAACAAGGTTTCGGGAGTAATAGCAACTGTGCGGCCAAAGGCCTAAGGATTACTAGTCGTAACTATTCAGGTATTGGGCATATATGATTATCATTGACGAGACTGTGCTCCAAGGAATAACAATGAAGTTATTCCGACCCGTTTTGTTGTAAACATAATCAGGAAGCCAAAGGATTACTGTTCGTAATCATGCCGCCCCTATTGATCTCATATATATATATATATATGTATATGTGTATATATATATATATGAGAGAGAGAGAGAGTAGAAGCATAATATGTGACCACTAAGGAAAACTCGCAGTTAACCCGCCTCCCACATGTTACAGCACAATAATACGAGCTCCAAATTGTAATTGGTCCTCCCTCTCTCTAAACATGAATATAAATCTAAATATGTAACCATGTAAATCTATACAAACAAATAAAGATATACATATATACTTACATACATACATTTATACTTTTCTTGGTCGATGGATAGAAAGATAGACAGATAGGTAGCTGGCTAGATAGATATGGGGATAGACATAGAGATAGAGATAGACACAGAGATAGAGATAGAGACGGAGATAGGCAGATGGAGAGAGAGAGAGAGAGACAGAGAGAGACAGAGAGATAGGGATAGAGATAGACATAGATATATAAAGAGAGAGGTAGATGTACACATATATGTATAGATTTAGTACCAGCATAAGAAGGAACACTGAGGTATACTATTCCTGTGGTACCTGTCATCTGCATTGGAGATCCTTTGCTTGGTTTAATCGAGCATACATTGACATTTTAGGATCCTAGAAGGTAACGGATTAAGGCTTATGGTTTAGGGTTAGTTTTAGGATCCTAGAAGGTAGCCAAGACAAGAGCTGCGATGGAGACTAAGGACTAATTCTGGCAGTTCTTACCCCAAGCCCTAAATCCTAAACCGCAAAACACTGTACCCCAAAGCCTAACTCTTAACCCTAAACCCCAAAGCCCTTAACCCTAAAACCCTAAACCCTAAACCCGCAAAACCCTAAACCCAAACCCTACAACCAATTCCGGTAATTCTTCCGAGGGTTCCCGTCATGGGCCTCTGCGCCGAGACGAGAGATGGCGGAGGGGGGACTTTGAATGGAACTCTGAGAGCCAAGTTGGGCTTCGGAGGCTTTCCGGCCTGGGGCTTCTAACGGTTAAAGGGCTTTAGGGTATAGGGTGTAGGGTTTAGGGTGTAGGGTTTAGGGTTTAGGGTTTAGGGTTTAGGGTATAGGGTATAGGGTGTAGGGTTTAGTGGGGCTTATAAGGGTTTAGGGCTTAGCTTATAAGGGTTTCGGGCTTAGGGGGTTTAGGGGGTTTGAGGTTTAGGGGGTTTAGGGCTTCGGAGGCTTTCCGGTTTAGGCGTGCCATATGAAGAGCAGAAACGACGACGACCACGACGTTGGACAAACGGGAGTTTCCGAAAACAACAGGCACCTTATTTTGGGGTCCTTATAATAAGGATCCTACTATTTAGGGAACTACAATCATAGGGTTCCCGTTTTTCGGAAACCCCCAAATCTTCAGCGACCCATCAATCCTCTCATGAAGCGTGCGGAGGTGGCAATCTTTTTTGGTCAGTCCCCCTGTCGAACCAGGCTGGGCACGTACCTCCGCTGCTTGGAGGTTCATGGGTAGTTATGAGCAGGGTTATAAGTAGGGCAACTATAATTATAACCCATGTTAGGGGACTTATAACTCCACTTATGACTACCCATGAACCTCCAAGTGTTCTTAGCATACAAGGCACAAGGCACAAGGCACAAATTGAACTTGTCGGGGAAGGTTGGCATCAAACATGCGATGCTTAACAACAGAAAGCACGACATAATGTAGGGGCCTTAATAATTAGAATAGGGTTTTGGGGTATGTTATAGTATAATTATGATAAGAAACTCCCAAAATATTACAGGTAATTATTAAGGCCCCTTTTTTAATGGTCCAGGCTTGCGAGTTGCCACTTCGACATCAGGTGGAGGTACTGCGACCAGCCAGCTCGGATGAGCTGCGTCACCTTAGGCTCTGTCCGTAGTTCCCTGAATACATAAGGAAGGCAAGCTCCAAAAAGGAGCCTGTCGGCTCGACATCTACAGTGCAGGGCTTGAATTCTTTTGCTATGGAGGCGACTACCTATCTTGAAATCGAGTATCCCGCTCGTGATGTGTGAGTTGAAGTGTCTCGCGAACTTATAGCAACGCCTACATGAACCCCTGCTAGCTTTCCTTCGCAATCTCGGCATTCCGGAATCGATCGCCAGAACTCATTTCTTGATGCAACTGAAACTCGAATCCTCTGTTTAAGACACCCAAGCTGAAGTATGCGGGAACGATGTCTGCCTGCTAATAGCATCCACGTCGCTGCAGCCACGACAGCATCCAAGGGCGCGCATCCAGTGGGCGCCTCCACCACCAGAGAAGGCAGAAGCTCGTTAGTGATCTCCTGGGTCGTGGGCTGAATCCAAGGAGTCTAACGTAGGGGCCTCAATAATTAGAACAGGGTTTTGGTGTATATTATACTCTCATGAAAATAAGGAACCCTGAAACAGTATTGGTAGTAATTGGTACTAATTGAGGCCTCTATAATATTGTTGCATGCAATAGCAGAGTAAAAAAGTGTCGCCTTTCCCTGCAGTCTTGCTGTCTTTGCGAGAGCACATTGCCGTCCATGCAGCAAGGTGCTGGCAAATGCCACGACACCTGTTTCTCGGTCGCGGCTCCGGATCTGAAATGCGGGAAAAAAGTGCGAGCAGATTGCAGGATTCACCTCCGCACTCCGTGCGACGACGACAACACTAGCACGGCACTGCCGGTGTCTTGGGCTGGGCAATCTGCCAACTGTGGTGGTCAACACAGCAGCATAGTCGTGCTACCACTGCTACCACGACGTCGGCGACTTCTGCCCGTTGCTACTACGACCGCTACGGTGTACGGCGACGAGCACAACTGGACCACAACGGCACCTGCTACTGCTATTCCCGCTCCTGATCTGGCTGCTGATACTCCTACTAATTACCACTCTCACCATCACCACACTACAGTTACAGCCACCACTTCCACTACCGCTGCCCCTGCCACTGTCACTGTCAGGAACACGACCATCGCACCACAACCACCACCACCACCTCCACTACTGCGAGGAGGACGACTACCTCTCTACTGCTCTTGCTTCTCCTGCTGCTGGTACTAGTACTACTACTACT